AATTTTAGTCCTTCTTCATGACGATCAACCTGCATCATGGCACTGACGATCTGGGAGGGCATAAAGAAGCTTTAACCCGAGCTGCTCCGCGTCGATTCCAGTTTTCCTCATGTTAGCATGGACTTTGTGGTAAGTTATCTATTCCCCCTCTCTCTCGCTTGCTCTCTCTCTCTCTCTCTCTCTCTCTCTCTCTCTCTGTTTCACTCTCCCTCCCTCTCTCTCACTCTCTCTCTCTCCTTCTCTCTCTCCTCTCTCCTTTCCCGACTCTCGCTCTACTCTCTAAGCGATAGCCCAAAACTTATCCCTATTTTTAGGCCGACTTCAAAAAAGAGCTGCGGCATTGTCCACGGGAGTCCCGACTCGTCTTCCTGCTCTGGGGTGTCGACGCACTAAAGGGAGGCCCGACCATCGATCATACTGCCGTTGGCGGAGATCCCGACCTGAGAACCTATCAATATTTGGCCCAGGCGTCACTGCCAATGTTTGATCATAACAAGTAAGTACTAAGATACCTTAAACCTTACTTCAAGTACCCAAGACCTTAAAACGTGCGTTGAGACTATAATGTTACCTTGGCTGTAGTTTGTCATACCTCTAGTAAGCCCTAATCTTTCCAGCATCCTCCGCCAAGGCCAAATCATGCTCCCTCTGTCGACACAACGTGACTGGGCCGTACAGCCTTGGGGTGGCCAGCCCTTGCTCTGCTCCGAACGAGATGCTGTCGTCATAATTTCTTTGCCAGGATATGACTACGACGTCCACTTCCCCGATATTAGCGACGTGGAGCCGGCGTAAGTTATTTCATACGATAATGACTGAGGCATCATCAAAATATAATAATTCGTAGCTGCCCTAGTAAGCTGCTCACTATAAGTTATTGGCTTAGAATAATTTTTTAAATTCCAGACTGCCGATGAGCTTCTACGACATGCCCGAGCATCAACAGGAGGAAATCGAGGATCTACTCGAGCTCAAGGACCCCGAAAAGTATGTAAAGTTTGAAATTTCCGAATATACGAAGAACTTTAGGCTGGAGCAAGAGTGGAAGGAGCTGCTATGGGAAAAGCGATACCATCTGATGAACAGCTCGGAGGCGTTGCCCCTGGTTTTGGCCAGCGTTCCGGATTGGGCCTATGGATGGCTGCCAAATATCTATCCGCTGATCGAGGGATGGACGATACTGTCACCAGTGGAGGCCATTCAGCTCTTGTTACCTCAGTGAGTTATTTACATACTTTAAACGGTTGATCAGCCGAAAAATCGGGTCTCAAGTTTGTATACTTGCTATGCGCTCCAGAAATATTCATAATTTTTGAAATTTTGCTTTAATTATGAAGATTGTTTTCTTTTCAATTGACTAAGACTAAGATTGGTTAATTATGACAAATATAAAAGTCTAAACCTTTCTCTTACATAGTTATACAAACTTCCAGATACCCCGATCGAGTCGTCCGCTCAAAAGCCGTCGAATGGATCAGGAGGGCATCCAGTGATTTCCTATTTAACTTTATGCCCCAGCTCGTCGAGGTAAGTAATTTTTGAAATTTTTGACAATTTTTACGCTACATTAAAATTTACAGAAACTTTTCAGGTGCTCCGATTTGAGCTGTATGAAGACTCTTCATTGGCTGAACTTTTGCTAGAACTCTCCTACAAAGATCTGCGATTCGCTTACGAGCTGTATTGGCAACTGCAACAGCGAGTGGACCATTGCCCGGCCAACGACTTTTCCGCGAACACGGCCTGTTACGTCAGGAGGTGCCAAATGTTGCAGAAGGAGCTGTTGTCAAGGTAAGTATTCTTTTGATCATCAAAAAGTTCAGAAATGTTTAATCCGTTATCTCATTTGTTCCCGCAAATTCGTCGAAACTTTTTAAGGAAAAGATTTTCTTTTTATTAACGTCCGATTTATTGATTTTTAATTTTTAAATGAATATCATTCAGTTTCAGAAAGGAATCCGCCCTCCTCACCCACAGCATCTACCTGCAGCACAAACTTTTGAACACCCTAGACGACCTTCAACGAGAACTGAAGATCACTACGGATAGCGAAAAGGTAAAATAAGTTTTAATAAGCCTTTAAAAGATCGGAAAAGCGTCAGAATTAAAGCTGTTATCAGGAAAATTCAAAAGTGCTCTTTTTAGCTCAATATCCTCCGACAGCGCCTCGGTTTCCTGGATGGAGATTTGCTCGGCAGAAACGTGCGACTGCCAATTTTACCGTCTTTCAAAGCCACCGGGGTTTGGAAAAATAAAATTCTCTTGAAAAACAGTTTTAGATCGACGTTGCCAAGTGCGGAATCTTCAACTCGAACGCCAAGCCGTTGCGCATTGTCTTCCGTGGGCTGAAGAGCAAATTTTCAGTGATTCACAAGGTAAGATATGGCGCTTACATTCAAAACTTTGGTCATGACCACGGTACTTTTTATGCCAATAGGATCGTAGCGTAACAGAATTTTTTGTAAACTCACGTTGAGTGTTAAACTTATATTTTAGGACGGCGATGACATGCGCCAAGACGCGCTTGTGATCCAGCTAGTTCGGGTGATGAACGACATCTGGTTGTGCGAGGGACTGGACCTGCGGATGATCACTTTCCGTTGCGCTACAGTTGGATATAGGAAAGGCACGTAGCTTTTACAAAATTGTCCCAGGGTACTGATTCTAGGCATGGCCGAGCTCGTGTCCGACTGCCAAACCCTGTGCGACATCCAAAAAGCCGAGGGCATGGCCGGGGTCTTCAAGGACGACGTGTTATGCAAGTGGCTGGAGAAGTACAACTCATCCGAGTATAGCTATAAAGTGGTTAGTAATTTTTCGATACCTGGATAAATGCTTTACAACTTCCATCACCCCCCGTTTAGGCGGAGGACAACTTCCGGCGCTCGTGCGCAGGGTGGTGCGTGGCGACGTTTGTGCTGGGGATTGGAGATCGTCACAACGACAACATCCTATTGACGTCGATGGGCCACGTCTTCCACATCGATTTCGGGAAGTATATGGGCGATTGGCAGATGGCTGGACCGGTGAAGAGGTGAGTACTTCCTTGTAGAATTGCGCATCGAGCTTGCACCGCGGCGCGACACGAGACGCGTCAAATGTCACAGGAATGAAGAACGCAGCCCGTAATGCTATACGCAACGTACTTAATAAAATTAGTGAAATGGACTGACACGCACCTTTGACCATCAGAAAGAGCGGATTTTGGCGTTATACCGCGACGCGAACCGCCACGCCTCCGTGAATCTCATGAAATTTGTTTTAAAAACCCTTTTCAGAGACCGAGTCCCGTTCGTCTTCACCAAGGAGATGTACGCCGTCATCAACCGGGGCGAGGTCCAGGGCGCCAACGATGGCTATCAATCGTTCATCGATTTCTGTTGCCAAGCCTTCAACCACCTGCGGAGTAAACACGCCCATATTTTGAGCTTGTTGAAAATTGTGAGTTTTATTGGTTTTCTTTAGAAACCTAAAATTTGACCGTTTAATCATTTTTCAACGTGTTTAGATGCAATGCTCCGACATCCCTGGTATCAACGCGCAATCTCTGCATTTTGTGCAAAAGAACCTGATGCTCGGTATGAGCGACACCGACGCGACGGCTGAATTTACGAAGATGATCACGGTATGATTATGCCTGAGTTGTTGGTCCTGTTGGTACTGACCTGCGAGCTGTAATCGAACGTTATTCCTGATAAACCAGGCTTCATGAAAGATTTTAGATCTCTCTCGGCTCAACGTTCGTCCGGCTGAACTTCTTCGCGCACACCTTCGCCCAAATGCTGAGCGGACAAACTGTACGACCAATTGACCAGCCAGATACGCTGTCATTTGTACCTCATCGGCATACGTGAGTTAGCTAGATACCCTAAGCCTCAGCCAACCTATGCCTAAGCCTATGGAAAGCAAAACCTAAGCCCAAACTAAACCTAAGCCTAAGCCAGGGCTAAGCAAAGCATAGGTCAAGCTGAACCTAAGCTAAGCGAAGCTGAGCCCAAGCTAATCATAAGATAAGCCTAGGTCTAAGCTATGCTCAAGCTAAGCTTATCCTACACTAAGCCCAAGCCAAGCCTAAACCCGGGCTTAAGCCTATGTCTGAACCTAAGCCAAGCTGAAGTTAGCCTAATCCAAGCCTGAGCCAAGCCTAAGCCAAGCCTAAGTCAAGCTTAATCTAAGCCTAAGCCAAATGAATCATTTTCAGGATGGAAACCGACGGCCGAATCCAGGACGTAAAGCTCCTATACCCGGAAAAACGCATGATGCCCCAGAAAGTTTATGTAAGTTTATAGATGTAAAACAGAAATTTTTAGAAACCGGAAGGACCCAAAAAGTATCGAAAGGTATTAAACGCTTTTTGGGGGCTATTTAAATTGCTATTTCTTTGCGTAAAAACGGACAGCGTTGGATTTTACAGCTGTACCGAATGGTTGTCTACCGAGATCAGGAAACCATTGCCACCACCGTATACCGTTCGTTTGCCGAATTCGAGGAGTTGGCTTTGAAGCTGAAGATGCGGTATGTGAAAGAAGCCGGTTTTGCGGGTTTTTTCTTAGCTAGTTAAAGTAACTAAAAAGTCGATTGAATGGACTAATTTATCAGAAAAAATACCTTTCAGGCACCATTCCTCAGCTCCAAACTGGGTGAAAGAAAACGCACGGTCCAACAACCGGGAAGTGGCTCTGAAACGGTTGTCGGCTATGAAGGTAAGTAAGAACAAAAAAAGTTGTAATGACTTAATTTTAGGACTACCTGCGAGTACTTCTTCACGGCGCGCCTTCAGCAGTGCGAAACGTAGGCTTTTGACAACGTTATGCTAGCGAAAACACGTGAATTGCCCCAAAACCGCCTAAAAATAGCCAAAAAGTTACAGTAGCCCGCCACAGCTTTGATTGCGGTACTACCTCAACCAAAATTGCAATCTCTTAAAGTTATGCTAATGGCTAAAAACCCCCATAGATCTATTTTTGTTAATTAATCGCAAAAATGATAACTAATACGTTTGTTAAGGACCCACTCGTCTACACGTTTTTCCATATCATCCTCCGGGACAACACACTCCAGAATGGACCTGGTAAGCGAAAGTAGCTAAGAGTTATTCACCCAGTTAGTCATAGCAAAGTCGAAAAATTTATGATCAAGCTATTTTTTAGAAGTCCTGGAGCCAGCAGCCGGCCGTCCCGTCCAAATCCGGCTTCTGCTCTCCTGGCAAGCGACCACGAGCCAGTTGAAGGTTTTTGTCGGGCATGTCAAGCATCTACCAATGTTGACGACCGGACAGGTAGACTATTTAACAGTATAATCGTTCTAAAACTCGCTAAAAAGAAATCAATAAAGACATAAAAATATTTTTAGGCCCCAGACTCCTACGTCAAAACCTATCTTCGTCCGGATCAGAATTCCAAGAAAAAGACGAAAATCGTAAGGTCTTCGTTGAACCCAACGTTCAATGAAGAGGTTGGTGTGATCATTTTTCTCTTTGTTCTAGATAAAAAATGTAGCGATCTAAAATCGCTTTTTTTATAGCTCTGCTACGACATTGGCGAAGTTCGAGACGTAAAACGATTCCTCGATGGCCATTCGCTAGACATTTCAATCTGGAGCGCCGGAGGGTTGAAGGACAACAACAAAATGTAGATTTTGAAGAATTGCTAGAGTAGTAAAATATGACCTAAGCGAGGTCTTGCGCGAAAAAGCCTTTTTGCTTTGCGTGTCGCGTTGCGGACGCAGACAGGCACATTTAATGTAGTACGGGAGGTCCAAAGCTTGTCGCTGGAGACAGGCAGGTCACGTGGCACAAGCGTAGCGAGTCGCGTCACGTTTTGCTTTGCGTGAGGCGTCGTGCCTGCTACGTTGCAAATTGCAGCGCGTGTCACCGTTCGGATGCGGAGCCGGTGCGTCGCGTGTTGACTTCAATAACGCGCCGCGTATCTTGTTGCATCATGTATTAAGTTGCGGGGTGCGTAGCGTGCTGCGTGGCGTGTCGGGTAGCGTTGCCCACGGCGTGGTATTACATATCGCGTACGCGTAGCCCCTAGTCAAGCCGACGCATTATTTGACATTGGCACGTATACTGTCGCGTCGCGTACAACGCGTATTTTCCAAGTAATGACGCGCTGTGTTTCACCTAATACTACGTAGCATCTACGCATCAAAAAATATTTCTATTCCTTCAGGTTCCACACCCAAATCCAGCTCCATCGACTGTACAACAAGACTGCTGACCGGAAGGGGAATTTATCGTGGGACGATTGGCATGATTTGTCCAAGTTTGGGCTTCATCTGCCGCATTCTTAAGCGTTTTTCCGTTTTTACGACTTTATCTAACGAGTTTTGCTGAATTACGCCATGTAATTCCAGGTTTTCGACCCTTTTCGATGATTTTAACAAATCACTGTATCGTCTTGTACCTAAAACTTTAATTATAATTTTGTAATCATAATTTTTATTTGATATTCGTCTAATTTGCCACAAAGACCCACCATCCTCTTAAAAAATTCGTTCAATTATACCACTTTTACGGGTACCATTTTATATAAAGTTTTTGTATGTATAGAGTGAAGGTTAGGCAGGTGCCCTATGTATATTTTTGCGAATTTTAATTTAAATTTCACTAGTTTAACGTTTTAATATTAACACTAGCTTTACCTACCCGTGTGATTTTCCGATTAGCCATTATCACCTCCCGGATGCAATCTACAAATGAAATACGCCAAAACCCCTCACTTTCCCCCCAATTACCAGTTTGTGATTACAGATACGGATTATGCAAATACGATTAGCAGCGGTTATTTTCTGAAGAATAAAGGTTGGACTTTTTCTAATGCAACAGATGTAAACGTATGCAAAAACGTATCAAAACCTGCAGATTTCACGACCGGATTCTTTAGCATTATCAGAGAGAAAGAAACCATCTTTTTTTTCTTATCTACCTGAATTATAACGCCAATTAATAAATTCATAACTTAATTTGAGATGAAGTGGAAAACAATCAAAAAAAAACTTTTAAAAGTTTCTTCGATGAAATTTTGGTCGAAAATCGGCCATTTTTGGTCCTAAAATCGATATGGTTTGTAGTTTCATAATCAGAATTTGCAACTTTTTCATGCTTAAGGATAGTAAAAAAGAGTCTAGAAACACCTAATCTATTTATATTAAAAAAATTGGATCCCTAGAAAGACATTTAATTCCCTTCAATTCAATTCATTTTTAAAAAATCACCCACGCTACAGCATCGGTCAGTTTTCTAGAGAATTGTGATCTTATGGCGGGGGGTCGGCTTGGTAAAATGTCAGCTGCAGATTTACATGCATAAAATTCGCCCATTTTCACAATCCTGAAGCGAAAAGACTCACGATACCTTCAAAATGGCACGAAACTGAGGCAAACCTGAAGATCTCAGTGGTGGGAATGACTTTTTTACTATCCGGAATTTTTGGCAGTCCATGTTCATACAACGTGCAGAAGCAGCAGAATTGTCGCGATCAAAAAATTGTACTTTAAAGCGGGTGGATACCCTCGCGTGGTGGATGCACTTTTCACCGCTCTTTGAGCCCGCAAAAATTTCCCCACGACATTGCCTCAAAAAGCTCTGGATTTTCTCACACTCTGGACATGTTTTTTGATTAGGCTGTGTCCAAAATAAGCAATTTTCAAAAACAGGACGCCGTCCGCGGGCCTAATTTGACCACAACATTTCACAGGGCTACACGACGCCGAGTTCAAGCAGGGTTACGATACTTTTCGCAGTGCCCTTCAAAGTCGTCAAGATACTAAAATGGATTACCTGGCGCTGGGTGTGGACGTCTTCATACTAATTACACTACCACTCCAATGTTTGCTGATATGGGTGCTGCTGGAGAGGGGGACGTTTTGATCGGGTATACGAGCTTTGTCTCATCAATGTTTGTAGGTTTTTTTTTGGGTACGAAGAACACTGTCAAAAACCGGAAAACTCTGGATCTGGCTTTTCGTGCGGGACCGTACGCCCAGATTAGGGACGTTAGTATTTGAATCCCGCGGTAGACCAGAAACCCGGCACGCGCAGCATCCGTAAAGCCCGCAACGCAGAGGCAGCACATCCAAGTTTTGGGGCTACACGCTAGTGATATTAACGATAAGAACAACTCGCGGGTTAGCGGTCCTAGGATACTGTACGATGGGTGCGGAGGTATTTAAGCGGAAACCTTGAACGGCTTCGGTTTTTTGGTGCTCTTGCGGTTAGTGCGGCGAGGTAGCGCTTTATTTACGTGTGTCGCGGCCACGCAAGTGACTTGAAAAATATGGGGAAAGCTTGTTTTTACGCAAAAACGCAGGGATTGGTGAACCGCAAGAAACCTGCAATCAGCGCACGCTGGATCCATGCTGCGGGGGAATCTTTGTCCTGCCTTGCTCACCCCTTTAAGATCAATGGTCCGTCCACTTTAGCGTAAATTACCGGGATAAGCACAAAAGTAGTTGTCGATAATTATAGCCAGTTCACGCCTGATTTTAGTGATCTGCGAGTTATTGCTCTGCATCAACGAGCTGATTGTGAAAGAGCCATCGGTGTGGGGCTTCTGGCTGTGGGCATTCAAAGGAGCCTGCTTACCAGTCTTGGCTCGCATCGCCTACGTTGTCTCTTGCTGTATCTCTACGCAGACAAAGGTCTGGAACTTCGTACTGGCCCTGTCACGAATAATGATGTTGTATACGCGAGAGAGGCTGACACTGGTGAGTTTCAGTTTCTTGCGAGATACTATTCCTAATTTTATCCTTCTTTATGCAAATGTTGCTAGGGATGGCGGACGTAAACCTGTCATTTCCAGATATGGACCCCAAAAATCATGATGGTGTGTATAATTTTGATTTGGACGGCAAATATTGGACTCGCTGGATACGTTGTTGTTCTTGTGCCTATTAAAGCTACGGTATCTGCAAATATTTCAGTATCGTAGGTTTTTGAAAGCTGAAAAATTTTTTAAAAGGTATTTGCCAGAATCCGATTTCCGAAAAACTGTTTTTGCAAGGGGCATTTTTAAGGCCGTACTCTTGCGAATTACGCTGTCGAAACCTTGAATATCCCGTGTTATGGAGCCCTGCTCATTTTTTGAACGGAATTTTCTGGGAACTCATAGCTTTTATCCTTAAAATAACATAAATTATCATTTGGAAAAGATGGGGTCAAGAATAACTAAAAAAAACAACAATTTTTCACGGTCTGACTTTTGAAAAGTAATCTTTGCAACTATGGCTTTTGTCAATTGTTTTCTGAAAACCGGGAATTTGTCCCGAAAAAATGAGTTTTGTTCGATTACCAAAGTTTTCGCAATTCCAACTTTCCAGGTACGCTACAGCCTCCTACAACCCATTCTTAAATACATATACCAGCATCGTAATCCCAATGATGGTTTTGTTATCGATCGGATTTTATCTCGTTTTCTTCCTCGTGATATCTCGAGGCAAATCGAAAATGTCTTGCCAAGAAGCGATTACAGCGAGGGTTATCCGGAGTGTCGTGGCGGCCATGTTACAAAATATGGGTAAGTTTAGGCATAGAATAGATATTTTATGAAAAGAAGTTCTTAAAAACCCCTATTTAAGCGATAGTTGGGTATCAAAAACATTCTCGAGGTGGAAAAGCGCCTTTTTCTGTTTTCCCAACAATGCAAGGTCGAACCTTTTCAGTGGCCCTGATCACCAGCCTACCAATGTTATACTCTTGGTTTCAAGTCCAATTCTGGGACTTAAATTTGCCCGAAATTCCCACATCCACCTTATTGTTGATGATCAAGGTTGGCACGAATCTGTACGCCACGCTGACGGCTTGGGTGATCGTGTTGTGTGTTGGGGAGGTAGGAATTTTATGCGCGCTTTAACACGCGATGAAAACTACTGGAAATTATTTCAAAGAGATCTAAATTTTAGTACCGCTTCGCAGTGCTGCGAAAACTGTCGTCGACTTTCGGAAGAATGGCCATCAGCAGCAGGGAGACACAATTGTCTTCTCATGCCCAACAGAGCCTTGGCCCTACAATCCTTGTCGTACCTTCGCCGGGTAGCGGTAAACGTTAAGCCGTGGAGCATAATTCAATAAAAATCAGTATTGGATGTTAAACAAGATAAGAGTCATTCGACGAAAAAATCTTCGTGATCTCTGTCGTTCCGCCTCTCGCGGTCGCTCTCTCTCACTCTCTCTCTCTCTCTCTCTCTCTCTCGCTCTTTCTCATTCACTATCTCTCTCGCTCTTTCTCATCCTCTTTCTCTTTGCCTCTCTCTCTCTCTCTCTTTTTCTATCTCTCTCTATCTATCTATCCCTGTGTCTCTCTCCATCTATCTTTCCTCGCTCGATCTCTCTCTCTCTCCCTTTCCAAAATCGAAATAAACAATTCTTTCAATCCGATTTATGAGGGTTAACTTTCAGCAATCAAATACCAAACAAACTTTTTGGATCCTCCCCCTCAATTTTGGCCCTTGGGTCCCATATTAGTATAATTATAGACCATGGTTGAAAGGTCACGGACATGTTTCTGCAGTCTGGAAGTTGCCTAAAGCATGGCCTAACAAGTACACCAGTACACCGCAATCCAAATGTGTCGGATCAGGCTTGTTTGAAATATCCTATCTAGCAGATTACGCCTCTGCGTCAGTATGGATTACCTGGCGCTGGTCGTGGACTTGTTTATACTAATTACACTACCACTTCAAATACTGTTAATATGGGTTCTGTTGGAAAAGGGACGATTTGATCGCGTCTATGAGTTGTGTCTCGTCAATGTTTGTGAGTTTTTTAAGGGAGTGAGAGCCGCTGTAGCGTTAACGACTCGCGCAATAATTTGCAAGAATATCTGTCTGTGTCTCCCAACGGGCGTCTTATCCAGGATTCCTGGAAAGATGGCACTGTTGACAGTGCGCCTTGAATGGAACGTACGCTACGATGATACCTTGAGCGTACAGCGTGCCCAAGAAAAAAATTTTCTTCCGCAAAATTCTAAAAAATGGTTTTGTAAAACTGCGCATTTAACTAAAAACATGGTTTTGAAAAGTGTTACAAGGGAGTCATTTCAAGGGCGAACAGTACAGGGTGTCCCAAAAAAAACCCCCCTACCTAGCGGTCCGCAGTCGATTCCGATTTTTACGATTTAGGTATCTATCGAAAGCTCTCGAAAAGGCGAGAAAACAAGGAGGGTTGAATTTCTTAATTAAGCCTTTTTATTTGCTAATTTTATGTCCAAAAACCATGAAAACTGCTGATTTATGCGAGATCTGCATGCTAATTGCGAAATTCCTGATGAAAAATTCCCGGCTTTTTAGGA